TAATTGATTTTACATATACATAGATACAGATATATATATATATATATATATATATATACACACAACATTAATAGTTTAAGCTTGGCAGGAAAGTAAGACAACATAATTAATATAGTTAAATCTCGTGGGACCAAAAAAATTTAAAGGTCTTTTCTTTGTCTCCAAAGAGAAGCGAACGAAAAGCCCACATGAAATAAATATAGCAAAAGACAGAGAATTAAACCACAGCATCTTGTGTATATATGTATATATACATACACACATATACATCCACGCATTGAATTAAGCTCGCTACGAACCAAAAATTTGTCACAAGGAATCCGAGAGAGGGAATTATAAGCCTCCAAAACTCCATAAATATTACAGGTTGTGTCGCATATTGTATAGAAACCCTAAAGAGATTCCTAACAGTTAATAAGAGTAAACCATGCATGCACCACTAATAATAATACGTATCAGTTTTACAGCTCCACAACTTCCGTACGCTTCTCTCTTGGTACTCCCTTGCACATTAAATTATAACCCATTACCCAAATGTAAAAAGATATGTATGTATACATGTTGGTAATTATATATATGTATATATGTACAGCAGCTACCTGGTTTTCTTTATGGGGGAGTTAATTTCTACTTGTGTACTTATGGATAAGGCTTGAATTGATTGTGCATTAATTTACATTGTATTATGTGTATCTATGTTTTCTGTATGACTTCCTCTTTGTATTATAATCACCGGTAAACATGCAGAGTGTTTGCATCCCAACTGAACAAGTGGGTTTTGGAGAATGGGCCTGTTGGACTGACTTTGAGGATTAGGTTAAATTCAAAGGTACAATGACTAAATATTGGTGTAAGGATAATATAATATAATATGATATTTTTCTCCTAAAACTTGAATTTGGGTATTCATGTATTTGTTGTTTATTATTCATATATCTTCAATTATTAAGCTCAATTCAGGTTACACACACACACACACACATATATATATATATGTCTGTATATTTAAAGAGAGTATAAGAAACCAATGGTAAATTAGAAAATAGAAAATAATATGTAGGGTAAAAAAGATAAAGAATATACAAGAATAATTTTGTCTTTTCAATTATAACAAATTAGAATTATGAATAGATAAATTGAGAAATAGAGAAATAGAAAAATAAAGAGAGAATCGAGATTTTCACATGATCGTCATTCCGCCTTTCATACGATTACAATCTTCCGCCTTTATAATTTATATATAGACATGTATTTATAACTTATATATAGAAATGTATTCAAGGAAGAAAAGCATCGAAAAATTGTTGTAATCAAAAAAAAATTTCTCAAAACTTGTCAGGCTCTCGACTTTCTCTCTATTTCTCTCTCTTTCGGCATTTTTTCTCTCTTTTTTTTTTTTGCTTCTAAACCCAAACCATAAATCAAGTTCGTGACAGAAGGGTTATATACTTTTATTTTTACTTAAAAATATATATATTGTCTTTGCGTATCAATTCCACATCCTCAAAATTAACATCACCATCTAAAATCTTGGACACATTACATTACTTCTCAAAATTATTATGAGTAACAATGGTCAAGATCTTCGTATATTAATGCTCAATGAACTAGTATTATTATTTGTATAACAGTTCTCCTATATCCCAGTGCAACATATTTGTACTGTTACTATAACATAGAGGATTATATGGAAACATAAACGATTCTAAATCTGGCAACAATAATAAAAATATATCTCGATCGACGATAAATGTTGTGTCCAAAAGTCACCACTAAATTTTGTATATGTTTCATGCTGATTACACTATCTTGATTTACACTGTGTTTATACTGGAGATAGCTGTAACGGCCTCAGAAATTTAAATAAAA